GGGGTTGGACCACAGGGGGTGGGAGGACACAGGTCAGAGCAGGACATGGCTGTAGGACAGAGAAGTCTGAAATACAGGAAAGAAAGTAAATGTAATAAAATTCTGTATTAAGTTTATAGAAGTCAGGCGGGAGCATAATGTCTATGAAAGTACCTAGAGAAGGTAGTCAGAAAGGTGATCACTTATCAGATCAAAGTACACAATAGTCTGAAAATAGCATAGAGGTTTCTCCTATCTTTATAAGGCTGCTGGAAGATGCTTCTGCCCTATGCTGGCCTCTGAACTGTGGTGCCAGTCATTGCAAAATATACCCTAAGCCTTACCAGCAAAGGCACCTCCTGTTCTTTGGTAGTTTCCCTTTGCACTGTCTCCCTGAAGTACAATTGTGACTGTGACCAGGAGATGAAGAACAGCAGCTGGAGCTCTCATGAGGCATCGACAGTGACCCTGAGATGAACACTGACACATAACTGGTTTTAGTGCCTTAATGCTAGAACTTAACTGCTAACAGCCCAGCCAACACTGTTTGCAGAGCTGTAGAACAGTGTTCAAGAAGCATCCTTTGCTCCCAAATGCCCAAATGTTGTATGACCACAGCTGGCAAACTTGGAATGTGCAGAAGCATTATTTTCCTCTTCAGAAGTTTCTGCCTTGATTTGAATTCAATGTATTTGGGTCTGCTGGGATCACTGCCCTTCTGCCTGTGGAAAACAAGACTTAGGGATAGAACCCTGGACTCGACATGGGTTTATGGTTTTGCTAGTGCCAGTTTCTTAAGATGATACTGTATTTCCAGGTTCATTGGCTAACTACATCTTTAGCACTAAACTATAAAATGGAGCATGAAGCTGTTTGAGAGACAGCATTGTCAGTATCCTCTAAGTCCTGTCTCATCACACCCTGCTTCACAAGTAAATAAAGCCCTGTTTTTGATAGAACTAAGGCTTTCTAATTTTGCTTCCCAAGGGGAGTGGGGGAAGCTAGCAATATTTGTGAAGAACTAAGAATAACAACAGCAGAAAAGCAGTCATCAAAGTAACAGTTTAGCATTTAAAAAGACACTGGGTAGATTCAGACTTACCTGTTCACCTGGGCGAATAAGGCCAGAGAAGTGGATGGAAAAGTCTTGTCTTGTATAGGCTTTTATACCATGTTGCAGACTGCCAGCAGACCAGAAACATACATTATGCATGAAATTATTTCACGATTTTGCATGCAAAACCCACCAAACTCATCAACCTTATTTTTCCTGACTCAAAATCTCTTTCACTATTGTTCTATTTTTTTCCCTTCCCCTTATTATATTCACATTCCAGTACAGACAAAGCTTTCATCTTCACCAATGGGCACCCACTGAATTGCTTGGAAGACTGTGGTGACTCGTTTGAATTACAGCAGTAATTATGTCACCTCCTAAGGCCAATGTAAATTTTATGCTTCATTTTAGTCATCAAGACACTGCTTAAGGGAGTATAGGAAATGCATAGCCCTTACTCAAGACTTCACTCCTTTAGGTGAATAACCATTTAGGACTGAGATGGGGACTTGGGCTGAAGCATTTCCATTTCAAGGACTTAGCTTTACCACAAGACAAGATGTAGAATAGGTGTCCCCAGATTTCTGCACTGTTTCAATACCACACATAGAGCTGAGGTTAAAGAAAATTCAGGCTGGTGAGAACTGCTGATCAGAGACAAAAAAACACATTCTAAAGCTGCTTGGACTAACCCACAATTCTCCATACAAACCCAGTGTATGTATGAATATAGCTAATACACACATAAGGCTGCATTTCTCTACCCAATCATAAATTTAACTTCATTTTCCATGCTAAACTCAACCACACTTTCAATGAAAGAGCTTGATTATTTGATCTTATTACTTTGTGACATTTATTAACTGCCTCTAATTCTCAGTATGATTTCTGTGCAGTCTCTCATCTGAGGGATCACCATTATTCCTACCTGAAATCACACTAAGTAGCTGGGATATGCAACATTTTTCACATCAAATTGAAGACAAATGTGGATGTTAAAGATTGCTTTCAAGTATTGGTTCTTATAACCAGGGTTCTGCCTGAGCCAAACAATGGCATCAGGAGAAATTATACCCAGCATTTCTCCATTACATTAATCACTACATGATTCTTTTACCTCTGCAGCCTTCAGTGGCCTGCCCTAGCTGTGCTCCAACCTGCTGGAAACACTGGCAGACATGGAAAGGACACAAAAAGCAGGGTTGAAATCTCTCTTCTTAGCACCACTGTCCCTCAGCAGGAGATATGAATTAACTCTAAATGAAGAGTGTCTTTGTCTATGGGTTGGTCTTGGTCTTCAGAAGATCAAAGGACTTCAAAGTTCAGAAGAGCTTTTCACTAATGGCTCAAATATGCAAAGTTTAATATTACCTGATGTTCAAGGTACATGACAAGATCTCAGCACCCGCATCACCTGGCTAATAACCCAATTCTGAAGTGTGAGTCAAGATCACTCAAAGAACTTCACAAAGTAATTCAAGGGGAACACCTTCAGAAACTTTAATGATTTTATTAAAAATTTACCTAATTGATTAAAAAAAAAAAAAGCAGCTAAATCTTCATCTTCTTTAAATACTATAAAAGGGTTTAAAAAAAAATTAAAAAGTCTACATGTTTTAATGATTCTCCACAAGAAAATTCTCCTGTCATAGAGTCATAGAATAGAATCATAGAATAGTTACAGTTGGAAAGGACATTAAAATCATCTAGTTTCAACCCCCCTGCCATGGGCAGGGACTCCTCACACTAAACCATGTACCCAAGGCTCTGTCCAGCCTGGCCTTGAACACTGCCAGGGATTGAGCATTCACAACATCCTTGGGCAACCCATTCCAGTGCCTCACCATTCTTAGAGTAAAAAACTTCGTCTTTATATCCAATCTAAACTTTCCCTGTTTAAGTTTTAAGCCATTACCCCTTGTCCTATCACTGCAGTCCCTAATGAAGAGTCCTTCCCCAGATGAAGTCCCTAATGAAGAGTCCCCTTCTTATAGGCCCCCATCAGACACTGGAAGGCTGCTATGAGCCTTTCTATTTAAGAGAATCTTTTCCTTCCCTTTCCTCAAAATCTCTACTATCCAATGCTACCTGGAGTCTTCTTAAAAAATTATTTCCTCATAGCTCCTCATCCTATATAAAGGTGAAAAGTATCACTTACCTGGAGAATTCATTCCCCTTTCATCTGTAAAATGCCAATTTTTCCTCCTTCTCACCTCTAGGGACATAAGCAGTGTTTCTTGGAGGGTATATAATATTTTAGAAACATTAACAGCCTGCAAATGTTTTCACTGATATTATGCTAGTTCAGTTTAGATTTCACCCAAAAGATCGAGAGCCTTTGGATCTTGCTTTTTGGGATTAAGGCTGTTGAACAAAGATACTTCTCACTTACGGATCAGGGATGGAATTTCACATTCCACACACCCAATTACAACCCTTTGTGTAATAACAGAGAGCTCCTTGTCAGTCTGGTGAACTACCAAATTGCCGAAGAGCTGACAAATTACTTACGTGAATTGAAATTTGTAGCATCTTTATGTTGACTTCAGAGGCCTGAGTGTAGTAGAACAAGGCATTCAAATGATCATCAGATCTCTGAGATGAAAGAAGCTTTGAGGAAGACTTTTCATTAAAAGCCAGGATGAGGCTAGACTGGTACATAAACCATAAGCAATTTAACTCCTGGGGACAATTTAACTACTGGTGACAATGTACGAGCTGCAACAAATTTTACAACTGGACTTATTTCAGTGCCTACATGAGGATCTCTTCTATTTCCCCTCCCCAAACTTACTGGTTTAGTAGCTTCAGTAACTGTTGCAAGTTTTGTTTAAATCTCAGCTCTGTCCTTTAACAAAGGTTTCTAAAGGTTTTAATGCCTGCATGTGCTATATTTATTTTGTGTTGGCATGCTTCATTCCTTGACTCATGTTGGAACTCTGTAGGGCTGCAGTCAGGACAGTAAGGACAACTTAGCTTTTATCAGAAGCCCTAAAAGACGCAGTACTTATGCAGTAAATAGCAAGTAAATACATCAAATATTGCTGTTGAAGAAGCTATATGTATCCCTTCTTTGAGAATTCTGCGGTTTTACTTCAGCAGAAGTAATGTTTTCATGTTTTACTTCACAAATCCAAGCATTCAAACAGTGATTTGGTGGTAAAAGAATGTAAATCTTTCTTTGTACCCTGCAGCTCCACATCAGAGTAATTGAGAGTGTGAATCACAAGATTCCTTAAAACAAACATCATTATATGCTGGGTTAGATACCCTGGCATTGTGCTAGATCATAGAACACTTCCAGGCTTGAGAATAATTTCTTGGCAGATGCAGAAAGCCAGGTAATATGATGAGTCAGTGTGGAATCAATAAGCAATTCAGCTGCTAAATTAAACATTTTCTTGATCTGGAGCTCTAAACATATGTTCTTCTCTTATTAGTGGCCCCAGTATTATTCATATCATGTCTCTGGGCAGTGATGATCTAAGCAGTGAAGAATTTCACCCAGAAAAAGCCTCAAAAGAAGGTAGGTGAGGAAGCAAAATAAAACAGAAGATCAGAGATGTGATAAAAGTATAACTTTAATAATACTAAAGAGTGAATTGAAATACTGCAAAGCAATAGATTTCAGCATGGGAAGAATGTCACATCTCATGATGATTTATTCTGTGGACAGAGCTCTTAGTGTAGCATTACATTGACATTACCTTGACAATTAAGTCCCATCTACTGTCTAAATTGTAAGTTTTATACCAGGCAGTATCAATTACAGAGTTGTGCAGCAGAACTGCATACTTGATTAGAAATATAAAATAGTACAACAAGAGGAGGGCCCTCATTTTAGGGAATTACTAGCTCCCACAGCTCCATAAACTTCAGGCAGTGGGCGTCTAACGCTGCATCTGAAAACCATGGCCATGAGCTCAGTCCTGTGTCGAGTTGTGCTTCAGCGTTCCTGGTCATTTCTTCCTGCTTGCTCCTCACGCTTTAGCACGGCCCGTAGAAGCCACTGCGGTAGGTGTTGTAGTGACGGTAGGGCCGGCTGTACCCACTGCCCAGGCCTGGATAGCCAAAGCTCCCTAATCCCAAGGAGCTCCCAGAGGAGATAGGTACTCCCTCAGCACTGAGAGCACTCCCAATGGCTGCAGATGCTGAGGATCCCACTGTGGTGTTCTGAGGGAAAGAGCTGAGGATGGGTCCAGGCAGGGTCACCACCACAGGAGAGGGCTGGATCACCACTGTTGAGTCCTGGCACTGCCTGACACAGGGCTCGTTGCAACTATTTGCCAATGGGGTTGGGCCACAGGAGGTGGGGGGGCACCGTTCATAGCAGGACATGTCTGTAGGATGGACGCAATTCTGAAATACAGGATCAGAAGTGAATGCAATATAGGAATCATACTACATTTACATTTACTCAGCTCAGGACAATAGGAGCTTTCAAAGGATCTTTTTTGGGGGGGGAAACTGAATGGGGCGTGAGTTGAGAAAGAAAGAAAATTCTTAAATGTGCTACATGAAGATGGAGGCTGAAGTAATTCACTCTCAGTTATTGGTGATTCAATGGAATAGCTGGAGGCAGAACAAAAGGACACGTACCTGTATCATTACTTTTAGTATTTTGATTGGCTGTATGTCTGGAAAGGCACTACTGACATCCAGCTGCAGGTATTCAGAGGATTGTAGTAGTAGTAACTATGAGTAATACCTAGCTACAAATGTGCTTGTGGATAGAGTTCAGCAGACAGATGGAAAATGAAATGAATAATTTTCCAGGTTCCAACTTTGCCTACAAAGAGGTATGAATTTCAGTATCATTAAGGATGCTTGAAGCTGATGTCTTAGGAAATCTTTCCCAGACAGCTAGTCCACAGTGGACAGGATCTCAATTCTATGAGAAAGACAGGATTTAGAATCATAGAATGGTGAGGGTTGGAAAGGAATTTAATATCTAGTCCCAAACCCCTGCCATGGGCAGGGATGCCTCACACGGGACAGAGCCTTGGGTGACAACAACCTGGCCTTGAACAAAATATTCCCTGAACAAAATACTCTCTGAATACCCACTGTGTCTGGTTCCAGCGTACCACTAAGAACAAAGGTTGCTGTTTCCTATGTTTATCCCACTTGGTTGGGTGCTGAGGTCTCTTCCATTTTTGCTATTTTTTCCTTTGTTCTCACAGTCCCTGAAACCAGTTCTCTAAACTTGCAGTAGGTGTCATTGCTTCCTATAACACAATTTCAAAACTTGAGTACTAAAAGACACCAAGCAGAGCTTTCTGATCTGTTTATCAGGCTGAAGTCCATGTTGATTACTATAATAGAAGGTTGAGGGTATGTGATTAGAGTCAATATCCTTGCTGAACTATGGCTATTCCTTCTAATATCAGTATGCAGCTCCATTTTATCTTCATTTAGAAAGTGGTATTTAGAGTTCAAAAACTTGTGGTTCCACCTAATTGATTTTATAACCCACAGACCTCTGCTTTAAACCTTCCTGGTTTGTCTGCTCACCAGCTCTTTCTTTTAGTATATGTATCGTCTTACCCACTTATTTCCCACTGTGCCCAGTAACAAGTTCATCACGATAAAAATAGGCAACAGTGAAAAGCTTCTATGGAATAAACAGCAAAGAAAAGAATTTTTTTGGATGACATTTCTGAAGATAAATGAACCCACACACTTCACAAACACTGTTGTTTTTATATCAACCCAGCTGAAAATTCACACATTACAGATGACGGATAAGACCCTTAAAGATATAAAAAGCACACTGCTACTTGAAAGATGATTGAGCACAGAGATCTCTGTAATCATATAGTGGTTTGAGTTGGAAGGGACCTTTAAAGATCACCTTGTTCCAACCCCCCTTGCACCGGTATATTACTCATTCAGTTTGTTCATCTTTGTTAATATTACTATTATTAGAATTTGGTAAACCACTTAGCACATCTGAAAGCCCATATTTGAATAAACTTATATCACCTTTTCAAGGATCTATATGGCCAAGTTGGCAGTCCAGAAATACCTGCATTTTCAACAGCAAAACCCAATGCTTTAAAGAGAAAAAGTCTTCCCCTGAACCAAACCAGCAGCTAGCAGAATACTGTGGTGAAAAAAGAACAGCAAACAAATTGTTATGAAGGTAAGAATTCAGCAAATAGAAAGAAGTAGATTTGAACTAACCTTGTTCACAAAAGAGGAAAATGTAAGAGAAGTGGTAGTGAGGACCTTGAGTTGAGTTTGCTTTTATACTGCATATCGAATGGCCTCAGGAGCACAGACATCCTTTGCGCATGAAATTATTTACCAACAAGTATGTCCTGAATGCAAAGGGCTTCCAACTGATTAAATGTCTTTTCCTTACTATTTATTACTTTGTTTTTATTTCCTTACCTTCTGACATAGATATTCCATCACACAAGTATCTCTCATCTTCTGGTATTATGGAGCAAATTTATTCCAGTGCCACCTTTCAGGCACAACAAACTCTATGCTTCAGTATATGTTTCACCTTAGTCATAAGCAAAAATATTGAGAAGAATTTATACCATGCATAATTCATCATTCAAAGCTGCTCTTTTATTAAGAATATGAGTGTGTATCCTTAAGAAATTCTTGTCGCCACCAATGTTTACAAAGCTCCAACTCTAGCCAAGCGTAAGAACAGTCCAGACTGAACTTTGGTGTTTTGTGAAGGCATAAAAAAGCACAAACATATGCACACCTGAAATGTCACTGAATGCAGTGAGAAAGCATCAAAGCCCTGTGTGAAATACTATTATACTATATCAAATTTAGATAGTATCACCCTATTACACTTCAATAACACAGTCTGAGACACAGCTAATAACACATGGGGACATGTAGACCTGATTTATCTGTTCTTTTAAGAGAAGAACATATATCTCCATTCTGTACCATCTCAGACCATATGTATGAATAGCACTGCACAAGTCACCTTGAGGACAAATATAAATTTTAAAATACTTGATATCATCCCACATAGGGGAAAAAAAACCAACACAACACATAAGGACTTGTTTGCCACTGAACTTTTTCCCTTGCTACAGACTGAAGTATAACAGTAATTACACTGCAAACTGCTGGAATTCTGTTACGTAAGTGGAATATAAATATACACTAAAAGTTTTTTAACTTTACTTTTCAATTTCTCCTGGACAAGCTGCAGGGTTTGAACCTCCTTGTTGAGCATCCATGACATCATGCTGTCTGAAGATGGCCAATTCCAGGACATTGGTTTCTTTGTTCTTTTAAATCAGCAAACAGACCAAGGGGCTTATGGCAGAGACTAGTTCTTCAAGCTTTTTCATTCATCAGCAGCACGTATGTACCTTTCAGGACATGCTGTTCTTGGGTAAAGGCCACTTAACAACTGGACACTTTATTCTCCTGAAATTCATTTCTGTACTTTCTATGCTACAGGTCCATTTGCATCATAGAAAGACGCCTTTCTGTCACCAAGAATGAAGCCATTCTTTGATGTACATCAGAGTGATTACTCAGAGATTCGTGTGAATAATTACTTCAGTCACACCAGTTCTGTCAACAGGGCACCAAATACTTGTGGATGCACTCCAGTCCCTTCAATTATTTGTATAGAAAGCACAGTCAAAGAAACCAAATTTTAAGCAGAGACTCCATTCAGTCTAGGACCTACTGATTTCCCATCTTTCATAGCTTGCTTTTGCTGCCTCAAGCCACAGCCTAAAAGTAAACATATCCCATACTATCTCTAAACCATTCTTCCCCCCCCCCCCCCCCCCCCCCAGCCCCCTTTAATTTAGTAACTTTGCAAGTAAGTAATTCTTAAGCAAAAAGAGCTTATAAGCTTAAAACATTTGGAAAAACATAAAACTATCTTTCCCCCCTGGCATGTGAACATTTGGGCTGGTTCTAGCAGTGAACCTGAATTCCAGTTGTCTTCCCCCTGGTTACTTCACTATCTCTATCAGTGCTACAACATTTCACTTTTGAAATAGATATTAGTAGGCTTTAAAGGAGAAAGCCCTGAATGAAGTGGACAGTCATCAAAATTACACAACTCTCTCATGTTGCTTTCCTGTCCTATGTTCTGTTAGACCCTGCACAGCACCAGCAGTAGAACAAAGGCATTGATACAATTAAGAACTTGGACAAATTTCTCAGAAGCTTATGTGCCTACAGACAAGCTATTCTTTATTTGTCATTGATGTCTCTTAGCTGCACACAATGTTGTGAGCTTTAAGATCTTTGAGAAAAACCCTAGGTGGTAACAGGAGCAATTTGATTTTAATCTTACAGGAAATACCTATGGCTATTTATCTACTTCTTCACTCAGTTTTCCTCTAAATTATGAGAGTTTTTGTGTGGATTAGCTAAGCAAAAATATTTCATGGACTGTGCTTAATATTTGAAAGAGAAGATATCAAAGCCCATCATCAACATAGTTTTATGATTCTGCTGAGATTTGAATATGCGCTTCCCCTTTGAAGCCCTGAGTCAAAATCACTCGAAGAATGTCATGGTTGAAGCTTCAGAGGCTGGTAGTATTCAATCTAATCAAAATCAGATACCCAAATACTGCTTCTGAATTAGGGAGTTTCGTATTCTGGGAGTTTTACAGATGCTAAATAAGTGATAAGATCAGAAAGTTCCCAAACTAAAAGAGGACAACTGTACTCTTAAGCACAGAGGTGGGAAAAAAAAATGGGGAAAAAAATAGGAAGAGAAATACATAGGTAAAAATGTTCAGTGTTTCACAGGAGTCTAAACAATGAAATTCTTTTTATCATGTTGATTGTGGTGACTATTCAATTCACATTTTCCACTGAGAAGATACTCTGCAGAGATTTGCCACAGGACATATTCCTCCCCAAGAAGATGAAAAAAGGAGAATAAAACCATAATGAAACATATATTCAGATGCAAAACAAGTTTAATCATGTAAAGTCAAGCAGCATTCAGCAAACAAAAGATATATATATTTATAAAAGAGAAAAAAACTTTTAACCCATTGCAAGTGAAAGACAGCAAGAGACATTTCACTTTTCCTCAAGTCCTGAATAAAAACCCTCCATTCATCATTTTAAAGTACAGCGTTATACCAAGACAACGTGAAATTCGAAATCACAGAGGCATGGAAAGTCATCAAGAGCAAGGAATTTCAAGAACAAGACATGTTGGCCAAGTGCCCAGAAAGCACCTTGCTTCTCTCTCTCTTTTTCAGGGAGGGAGAGGAGCACTGAACTCATCTGGCAACCCTGGCCAGCAGCTCCAGCCTCAGTCTGACACCTGGTTTTGGGCTTCCTGGTTGATGGACGTCCAGCCTGGGTTTAGCAGGGCAGGCTCCTT